GGGGGGGGTAGGAAAGTCATTTAAAAAAATCAAACAAGCCTGAGATTAATGTGAATGCTTAAAAAAATCATCAAAGCAATGGAAGCTTCTGGAACCTTTTGTTTGGAAACAGATCACTCTTGACTTTAGGAGTGAGATCCCCAGAACTCTGCTTTTCAAGTGGGGGTTCGTTGAATCCATGTTGCCAGCAAGTCTGCTTTCCCAGACTCTGTTCGCCCTGTCCACCCTGTATCACTGACCCCACCCCCAGGGGCTGCTGCCTCCACAGCATTACATGCAGTGAAATTCCTAGCACCCCCTTCCCCAATCCCCCACTGTAGATTCTCAGCTCTCCTGTCCCCAGAGCCATGCAAATGCTTCCAAGGACCACTCTGAGAGTAAAACTCCCAGTTAGTAGACTTATGACTTATTTTATTAATAACAGCCTATCAATGATGACAGTAGCTACCAGTTGCACTGAAAAATGTCTGCATATAACACGGACAGGCGACTGACTGACGGTCACCACCGATAATGACCACTGTCAGGAGTGACGGTATGATCATATTGAGCTCAAACTGAACATGTATTTTATCTCTTCTATAATTGCTATCATCTCAAGGAAAATTGTAATTATAGTTATTTTTATATCTAGAAGTTGATTTGAAATATGTAAGCCACTTTTAAATCTAACGTTGTGAGTAGGTGTGTGTGTATACACAATCACACACATGCACACATTTCTCCTGATCTCAAGGCCCCTTTTTTTTCTTTTTGTGTCACACCTGGCGATGCTCAGAGGTTTACTCCTGGCTCTGCACTCGGAAATTACTCCTGGCAGTGTTTGGGGCACCATATGTGTTGTAGGGGATTGAACCCAGTTCAGCCACATGCAAGGCAAACATTCTACCTGCTGTACTGTAGCTCCAGCTACTCTGAAGGTACGTTGAGAATGTTCTAGAATTGGCGTTTTAGTGTTTAGGCTTTAGTGTTCAACTGACTGGATTCATATCTAGCTCAGGTCAAGCTAATTTCCATGATCTGAGGCCCTTTCCTAACCTTCTGGGTCTTAGTTCCTCAGTTATAGAAACAGACAATTCAGATGACTGGTTAAAGAAACTTTGGTACATCTACACAATGGAGTACTATGTAGCTGTTAGAAAAGATGAAGTCATGAATTTTACATACAAGTGGTACCACATGGAAAGTATCATGCTAAGCGAAATGAGTCAGAAAGAGAGGGATAGACATAAAAAGATTACATTCATCTGGGGGACATAAAGTAACAAAATAGGAGATTAATACCCAAGAATAGCCGAGATCACTACCAGGAGAATTACTCCATGGCTTAGAGGCCAGCCGGGCATTCTAGGGGAAAGGGCAGCTCAGATAGAGAAGGGAGCACCAAATAAAGGGTGTTTGGAGGATCCTCCCAGGATGGGAGATGCATGTTGAAAGTAGACTATGGACCAAACATGATTGTCACCCATTGCCTCTTTTGCAGACCACAGCACCCAAAAGGAGAGAGAGAACAAAAGGGGATGCCCTGCCACAGAGGCAGGGTGGGATTGGGGGGATGGAAGGTGGGAGGGATACTGGGATTAGTGGTGGTGGAAAATGGGCACGGGTGGAGGGATGGGTATTTGATCATTGTATAATCGAAATCCAAGCACAAAAATTTGTAAGTCTATAACTGTACCTCATGGTGTTTCACTAATAAAAAAAAAAGAAAAAAAGAAACAGACAGTAATAATACTAACTCATGGCTTGGAAGAACTAAGTGATACAGTGGGTGTGTTTTTTTTTGTCACATAGTAGCACTTACTACTGTACCTTATTTTTTTTATCATGTCAATTATTTTTAGAACTAGAAAATGTAAAAAATCATTAACAAGGAGTCACATTTAATTTTACCATAAAACCACTTTGAACATCCTGGACTAAATGTTTCTAGACTATCTTTGTTTTTTCAACATGCCTAAGTATATTTAATTTTGTAGAAACAGGGTATGCATGAAGGTAGAAATAATTCTTTAAACCACATTGTCATTTGCTTTAGTAATTTATTTTCTGTGCCTGATTAGTTTTGTGTGTAGCTCTCATAGTTTCGTGTTGGCCCATCATGTGTGTGTTGTTCAATTTATTTCCTGGGTATTTAGATTGCTTGGCATTTTTTTGTGCTTATAATTAATAGCAGTCTGAAATTAGATGAAAATGCACTTTTTGTATATGTAATTATTTCAGTTTGTTATTTATTCATTCAAAACCATTCGTAGTTGTAGAAGATAATTTAATACCTTTGAAATAAACTTCTGGTACAGCAGATAGGACACTTGCCTTGCACATGTCTGGCCGGAATTCAATTCCCAGCACCCCATATGGTTCCCCAAGTTCACCAGGAATGATCCCTGAGTGCAGAACCAGGAATAAGCCCTGAGCACTGCTGGGTAATGCCCAAAATCAAAACAAAAAAAAAATGTCACGTTCAGAAGGACTCTAATTTCATTTTCATGAATGGTGTAGAAGACTTCTAATCTTAACATAACCTTGCTAAGTTGCCAAATCTGGTAGTATATATAAAATTTGCCCAGATTAATAGCTCTTATGCAATAGGGGGCAAGTCATTTTCACTCTGAGCCTCAGACTCAAAACCACTTAAATAAACTAATGGGCAGAAAAGTCAGAATCCAGTCACAGATGACCCTGTGTGAGTTCATTGCAAATTCTATTGGTTCTGTTGTCTAATTTAAATGAGCAAGTCTGGTTTAAACGAGCAAGGTCTGTGCTGAAGGTGGGCTGACAACAGCAGGGACTGGAAGGTCTCTAGGAAGTGGCCTACCTCTGTATGCTTAGTGTCCATCAGCCCTGCAGGCCCCAAGTCAGAGACTCGTGCCCAGAGACGCTGCCATTTGAATTGGTGATGATTTTTATTTCTCTCTTGCTAAAAAGCATAACCATAATGGCAGGGGCCTTTGCTTTGTCTAGACACATCATAGCCACCAAGCACGGCTTGTCACATGGTTAACTTCATGAATAAGTGTCTATTCAGTGGATAGATAAACTGAATGAAACTATGCTACCCACCTACATCACGAGATGGGCTAGCAGAAGACACCCTTCCTCTAAGTCCTCCCCCCAACCCACCAGCCCCCAGGACCAGTATGGATGAGCTGCCTCTAGAGCTTGCTGCTTCTCAGGATCATTGCATATCTAGGACACAATTCGTCCAGTCTCCCTGCTAGAATCCATGCTCTTCAGAGCACAATTGAATTTCTGCTCCAGTCCATTATGGAATTCAGCTAAGAGAGGAATGTTACTTCTAAGTTTCTAGGGACCCTCCCTTGCTAGCCTTTTGGATCAAAAGAATATCCATCTTATGGGGAGGGTTACAAATATATTTGATATACATAATGTAAAATATAGCATCTAGGCAATAGTATTTAAAAGTCATATTCTACAATAAAACCCCTTAGTTCAAACCTGAATTTCACAATTTACGAGTTTGAGCTAGTTACTTAATTACTTAATTACACCCTGTTTGATTTTCTCTTCTTTAAAAAGCAAATAAAATCCCTACCTTATGGGGTCAATATGTTGATTAAGTGAGTTAAGACATGCAAGCATGTAAAAATAATGAGTTAAAACATGCAAACACATTGAAATAATAAGTAAATGTTACCTGTTTTAATATTATTATGAGACTTAATAATAATGTCGTTGAGAATTTACTATGTTCCTGAAATTGAATGTGTATTATCTCAGTGACTCCTTAGAATTGTGCAACCGACAATTATTGCTTATCTCTACCTCATGAATAAGGATATTAAGACTCAGGAGTTTAGTCATGCTCTGAAATCATATAGCTATTGTGTGGTAGAAACAGACTTTAAAAGCAGATATGTCTGAAATATTATCATGGAGAAAATTTTCATAACGTAATTGGAAGCATCTGCATTCTTATTGACATTATACTTTCTAGTCTCTGTTTTTTAGCCCTTTTCAGGCAGGCTCACAACCTTTGAATATTTCTCAAGAAACACATTTTATCTTTATCTGCTATTTAATTACTTTCATGGTGCTGGGAATGGAACCCAGGGCTTCATTCATGCCAGCAAGTGCTCTACCGCTGAGTTATATCCCCAGCCCTCAGAAGCCAGCTGTGACTGCATGTGAATGCTAAAGCATCCCTCCCGTTGGCCTGTGGGTTAGTGTTTCTTAGGACTCATCCTGTCACTGAGAGTGATTTTATGCTCATCCAGATCACCATTTTCTCTTGTTTCTTTCACTGGGATTTTAGACAAAAATAACCATCAATGAAGTCATTTAAAACAATTTAAAAGCGATGAGCTGCCAAATCATGACCCAAATGGCCAATTTGTGTCCCACGTTGTGGGGTTGGTAAACCCACAAACCTTTTAGAATGATGTGAAAAATACCTTTTCTTGTGCAATCAGTATTAACCAGTTCAGATTTCATTTTCGACGGTGTTGGAAGTTACCTTCTCCTAACAGCAGTTCTCTACCCAGAATCCAAATGTCTAGAACCCAAGGGCAGTTGAAAAGCTGTTCAGCAACTGGGGGCGACTGCATGCTTGGGAAGAGACCAACACCTCTTCCCTTTGCAGTGGCAGTGAAATTAGAACATTTCAGACAGTCCCCAGTAGAAGACACAGTAAGAACTGCAAAACCCTCCATTTACAAATGCCAATCCGGCACAGTGTCCGTGGGCAGCGTTCGCACCGCCATATTTGACAGATTGTTTTTTATGTCCCGGAGATTTATTTTGTTTTCATTGACGTATGTGATAAAACGTTCTGTTACCTTTGGCCAGGTGGAGCTGTGGGTCAGGGAAATCTGTCTTTCACGGGCAGGAGAGCCCTACAGTGTGGTGTGCTGATGCCCAGGGCCGGGAGGTGGCAGAGTGGGGTCCAGATGGATAGTCACAGTGTACCTTAGAATGCTGGTGACAACAGCAGGGGTTTCAACTGTAGGTCTAAAGGTCATCTTTTGTCTCCTCAACAGGTTAATTATGTATGGCTTTGTGAAGGCTATGGTCTCTGCTGGCCAGTTGAAAAATGGAGACTTTCATTTCACTGACTGTTTATTTTTTGGCTCACTGATGTCTGCTACAGATCCAGGTAATTGCTCAAATAATATGTTTTCCTCCTCTTAAGAATCCCACATTTAAATGGAATGCTTCTCTAAAGACCTTCCCTGGAGTTTACATCAAATGATTCTTTATTCCTTTCCCTTTGCAATTGACGTTTCTATCAGTCATTACAAGAGAGAAAAAAAGAAAAAGAAAAATTCTAGGTGCATTTGTAATAGCGCTCAAGAAATAGATGCGGAAGCAATTTCAGTAGTGAGAAAGACTCTTTAAGAGTGATTATAGTTTACTTCTCTGGAATATGTAGCCGCTGTGAATGAGAGCCCCTAATTCTTTCCCCCATTCAGTTTACCTCACTTTTCTCAAAAGTGATCTATTGCGTTTGATGAAGAAATATTTTTAAAAAAATCCTTTGTTATGGAACTTCCTAAACATATTGAAAGTCGAAAAAGACCTAAAAATTTTGTTATATGCCTTTACATCAATGTACAAATGTGGCCAAAGGTTTGGATTTTATCCTTGATACCATTACTGTTGTGGGGCCAAGGGGTGACAGATCTTGTTGAGTGGCCAAGGATCTCACAAGGCAGTGCCAGGGGTCACACTCTACCTCAGCCTCAGAGACGCCTGCAGGCACAGGAAGCGTATTGCCACCTACCTCATCCTTGAGCCTCTGGATCAATATCCCCCCGCCCCCCAACCACTCTGTCCTCCATATCCCTTTGATGGAATTATGTTAAGGCAAATTCCAAAAGTCTTAGAATTCTATTTGAAAACATTTTGAATTCTGAACATGGTCATCATGAAATTAAAGACTATCATAACAAGTGTTAAAAAATGTTACTGTTTTTATAACAATGCCTTATTGTTAAAGCAGTGTGTTCAAAATGGTGTTGGCATTTATTGGTCTTGGCCTATGGCTACCTCCCCTCACTGCCACGGATGTGCCCAAGACTCCCCCTCCCCCCATCCAATATTCATTTTTAAACACCAGCCAGAACCTGGTCTGTTTTTCTTTTTCTTTTGGGGCCACATCCTCTGATGCTCAAAGATTACTTCTGGCTCTGCACTCACGAATTACTCCTGGCAGTGCTCGGGGGAGCATATGGGATGCAGGGGATCAAACCCGGGTTGACTGCATGTGAGGCAAGCACCCTACCTGCTGTACAACTGCTCTGGCTCCTAGTCTGTTTTATTATTCTAAGTCCTCCTACTTCCTTGATTGTTTCAGTAGCGTTGTATGTCTTGATCCACCCTGGTGAATCACCACGTCCTGTGGAAGACCAGAGTGGTCTTGATGAATGGACACTGTTCTGTGAAACTGTTCATGTCCCACAGCACAATTCAGTCCAGCTGATCATCCTGGATGCCTCCCAAATGACAGGGACCAGTCTCCATTTTCTTAGCATGGATCTGGAACCAGCAGCATTAGTGGGGCAGTGTGGCTTGACATAAAAACAGTATCTCAGGCTCAGCCTTAGAACCACTGAATCAGCTTCTAGAATTTAGTAATATCCTAAGTGATTCCCGCACACATTCAAGTTTGAGAAGCTCTGAATTTTAGAGTTCCCCTGCTTGCCTAATGGTTTTAAGTACCCACTGACCATTACTGCTTAGTCCAATATTTATTACAGGTCACAAATTAGTGCTGTGCTCATTTTAATCTACCTACTGCTTATCATGAACTGGTATTTCTCCATGAAAAAGCAACGTTCCAGATCAACTATTTGGATAGTCTGTGATATAACTTTTTATTTTAAAGCAAAATAAGCCATTGGTTCTTTTCCTTTATTTGCTAATTCCCAAAACAATGACTTGTTTCCATGCAATACTCCACAGCTACCCATAGAGTTGCTTAATATTTATAGAGTATTAGAGAGAGTGTGAGGACAGAGGTTTAAGTTCTTGCCCTGCATGCAACTAACCCTTGTTCCCCCAATTCAATCTCCAGTACCACCTACAGTTCTTCAAGTATGACCGGAAGTGACCTCACTGAATACATAGTTGGGAATAGCTTCAGAGCACTGCCAAGAGTCACCCAAATTCATATTACAGAATCTGGGATGTGGGCTCACAGTTAGCTGCATGCTTCATAAAGTTGAATGCTGTCACTGCATAATAATAATAATAATGATAATAATAAGTTAAAAGTATATTTAAACAAATTAAAATATAGTGCAGATGCTTCATTGCACTGTTAATTGCTAACATTAATCTTTTCAGTGATCAAATGATTCCATCTTTGATCAAGTTTCTCTTGCATCATTTTGTCTTGAATTGATGGTTTGGGGTAGGACAAGGTACAAGTCCCAACATTCTTATGTTTGTTTCCTACACAGACTTGGTTTTTTCCAAAGCAGTCTTGGTTCTTTCTAAGAGGAAAATTTATTTTGAGAATAATCTGGACATGAGAGATTTTCATTTCTCCTGGATTAGTTATATTCTAGATAGCACTGTTTGTTCTAAGGAAAATTAATATAAAAATTCTTATTAATATTTTCAACTAAAATTTAGAATTATAAAATTTTACTTAAGTATCCTACATTTTATTTACATTAAATTTTTCCAATTTTCTTCTTCGTATTAGACTTTTGTACAATATCTTATTTAAGATACCTTTCCAAAATTACACCCACTATCACTAAAAATGAGTGTTGAAAACTTGCAAGATTTTATTGTGACTCTTCTTAACATTTGGTTATCTTTTGCTAGACTTAAGCAGTTTAAATTACTCTTGTTTTGAAAGCTCTTGAAATAATTCTGGGTGGTTATGCCACAAATCAATATGCGCTCATAGTGCTCATTTGCTTGATTTTGCTTTTGATTTTTGTTATAAAACTAGATTTTCTATGCACACAATTCCCAATGAAAACCATAGGACAGAATAAGAGATACCTAGTTTCTATCCCTACTGTGTGTCCCTTAATTTTCCAGTCATTTTGGCTGGTTTTCAGCTGGCCTTCTGTATTTAGACCTGAGCATTCATCGGTGGGTAAATGTGCTCTTCTGTGCTATTACTCTTGGTTTTCTTCTTATTCTTCTTTAATTAATATGAGTTTGGAGTTGACTTCCTAACACTGAGTGGAGTTCTGTCTTGTTCTCTTTCATAACTGCCAAGTACTCTATGATTTACTCAACCCCGTCTTTTGATAAACATTTGAGTTCCTTCCTTGTCTTCTACAATTCTGAATGATGTTGCAGACCATGACTTCGAAGTTAGCAGCCTTTCACATTCTGCCAATGTCTCTTTGGGTAGATATCTAGAAAGATGTTAAAAGGCAAATATATTTGTGATTTTCGTGATGGCAAGTGTGTATCGTTTTACATTCCCACTAGCAATGTAGACAGTCTCTGTTCTTCACAGCTTTGCCATGCAAAATTCTGTGTCACTCTGTGAACTTTGCTTATGGGGTAGGTGAGGATATTTATCTCTCCCTAGTCCTGAACTTAGCACGTCTACCATGTGTATGGTTGAACAGCAGCTTATATGTTTATGGAACATTTTCTTTTTCTCTTTTCTGAAAAGCAACTGTTTATAAGATGCCCATTTTAGGAGTGTCACAAATCCTTTGCTTTTAAAAAATACCTTACTCTATTATGGATATTAACCCTTTGAAATAAGTGTAGGTGTTTCCCTACACTTATTTATCTGCATTGATTTTGTTTAAATCAATGTTTAAACAAAGGCATGCGGGTCCCAGGGCTGAGATCTCCAGGCTTGCTCGGGTCGGGGCTGAGCATCCTCCACCCAGATCCTCCATATTCCACTAGGCAGGGGTCACACCCACCAACTGGCCCCCTGGCACCATGTAATCCCATCAACAGCCAAGACCCAGAGACTATAAAACCCAGCTCCTGGAAGCGCGCATCTTATTATCTCATTCTTACTTTGGACAACCTGGCAGGCTACCAAATGTAACCTGCCCACACAGCAGAGTCTGGCAAACTCCCCGTGGTGTACCAATATGCCAAATACTAGTAACAATGATGGGTCTCATTCTTCTAACCCTGAAAGAGCCTTGGATATGGCACTTTTTAAAAAATCTCAGGGCTAGGATGAAGGAGATGTTACTGGGGCCTGCTCGAGGCAATCGACAAACAACAGGATGGTCGTGACAGGATGGTCGTGATCATCGTGATTTTGTTTATGGTATTAGGATGGCAGTGGATGCCCACTCCTGATAGAATTCTCCAGGCTCTTTGTCAAAGGTCTCTCCTGGCAAGGATTAGGGGACTTGATTGTGTTTCTGGGGATCAAACCATGATAGCCCACATGTGAAGTGAGTACTTTAACCCACACACTATTCCTTAGACCCCGGGGTTTTTAAAAATAAATGTTGCTATCTGATATGGAGCTGTAGGGTGGATGAAAGGAGCAGAGGGGGCAAAGAGGCTGACAGCCCCTTCGCCAGCATTGTGAAGAGGTTTTGCTTCCCATGGGCACAGCCCTGGGGGAATTCAGAAATCCTTCTGCGGCCTTGGGAAGCATGAGTCTGGGCGAAATATTTTTAACTCATCAGTGATTTCTCCTCAGGGAGGGTTCTCTCCTGCCACAGATGGGCATTTTCTTACTCGTGGTCCGGTTGCATCAGGCACCTTTGCACAAAAATGCATGTTGAAAAACATTGAATTCATTGTTTTCCAGTTCCATTTCTGAGGACTGAGTGTGCTGTGTTCTATTGAGTGATTCAGCCAGCTCCAAGGACAATTATGTTGTGTTCAAGCTTTGCTCCTTCTGCGGCTGGTAATATCCCCGAGGTTATGTTTACACGATACAGGAAAACTGATTGAAATAGGAAAAAAAAATCCAACTCAATAATATGGTTATTTATCTGCATTGTGTCAAGCTACTGAACTGGCTGAAGTTTTTTTAAAAACAAAAAATGAGCTCGACCTTCAAGAGAATCCTGGGAACCAAGTTCCCTTTCCATATCTGACTCAGCCCACCGGTGCAGCAGAGGGAACCCACTCAACCTCCCTTGCCTTGATGGGTTTAGAGAAGTGGAAAATGTCCAGTTTCATCTCTGCCGT